GAATTTGGCACTTGCTCCTGTTAAACTTCATATTAGATTGCCCAGATATCTTATTTGTCAGGATCTCTCTGCAAGGCCTCTCCACCCTCACAACCTCAGCAGAGTCAGCAGCTCCTCCCAATTTGTGAACTTATTCAAAACACCTTCTAGTCCTACATCCAATTCATTCATGAAAATATTGACATTAACTGTCTGTAAAATGTAGCCCTGGGGAACCCCACCAGTGACTGGTCATGAGCCTGATGTAACTCTGTTTACTGTAGCCCTTTGAGCCTGACCCATATCAAGTGTATTATCTATTTGTCTAGCTGGACATTTTGTTCAGGAGTTTACTGTGAGAAACAGTACGAAAAGATTTGATGAAACCCAAAAAGATTAAATCAGTTGTCTTCCCTTGGTCAACTAGATGGGTGACCTTGTCATAAAAGGAAATTAAGTTTGTTAAACAGAACTTTACCCTCATGAACCCATGTTGGCTGGGACCAATGACTGTGTTGTCTTTCAGGTGTTTTTCAATAACTCCCAAAATAATCTTCTCCATAATTTTACCGGGCACTGAAGTGAGACTGACAGGCTTGTAATTACCAGGGTCTTCTTTGTTGCCCTTCTTGAAAATTGGAACCACATTTTTCAGCTTCCAGTCATGTGCAACCTTTCCAGATTCCCAAGACTGCTGAAAAATAATTCAGAGAGGTCTCCTAGTGAAAACAGCCTGCTCTCTGAGTACCCTGATATGAGTCCCATCAGGTCCCATAGACTTACATGCATCCAGCTGGAGCACGAATTTATAGAGTCATAGAACGCTTTGGGTTGGAAAGGACTGTAAAGATCACCTAGTTCCAATACCTCTGGCATAGGTAGAGACACCTTCCACTAGACCAGGTCACGGAAAGCCCCATCTGATCAGGCCTTAAACATCTCCAGGGATGGAGCATCCACAGCTTCTCTGGGCAACTTTCTCCTGTGCCTCAGAGAAAAGAATTTCTTCCGAATATCTAATCTAAATCTCCACTATTTGTTTAAAACCATTACTCCTTGTCTTACCACTGTACTCCCTGGAAAAGGGTCCCTCCTCAGCATTCCTGTAGTCCCCATTTAGGTACTGGAAGGCTGTTCTAAGCTCTCCCCAGAATCTTCTCTTCTCCAGGCTGAACAACCCCCAACTCCTTCAGTCTGTCTTTGTGAGGTGCTCTTGATCATCTTTATCGTCCTTCTCTGGACTCATATATCCATGGCAGTCTTGTGCTGGGGGCCCCAGAGCTGAATGCAGTACTTCAGGTGGGGTCTGACAAGGGCAGAGTGGAGGGAGAGAATAATTTTCCTTGACCTGCTTGTCATACTGCTTTTGATGGAGCCCAAGATATGTTTGGCTTTCTGGGTGGCAAGTGCACATTGCTGGCGGACGTTGAGGTCCTTGACAAACAACACCTGCGGGTCCTGCACATGTTCAGGGTTGGCTGGGAGTTTATCATTACCACCATCATAGTCCTCCAAACTTGGGAACCTGGAGTCCTAGAGTACATCATTGGTGTTGAAGACAGGCAAATAAGAAGTCTCTGCTTTGTCTGCATCCCTATTTGTGAGATCATCATCCACATCAAGTAATGCATGGATGTTTTCTCTGGTCCTCCTTTTGTTGTTAACGTATTTTATAAAACCCTTTTTAGTGTCTCCCATAGTGCTGTCCAACTTCAACTCTAATTGTGCTTTGGCAGAAGGATGAAATCTGTCATAAAATTATCCAGTTTTAGACATGTGGCTGTCTGTCCAATTGCACTGAAACCCACATCCTGACAACTAATCTTCAGTTGTTGTAGTTCCAGAACTGAGGCTGACCTATGATAATTTACAGAGGTTCAGTTACTGGATTCATGTAGCAGATTTTCCTCTGAACTTTCCTGATTGTTTGATTCCTTGCTTCTGTGTAGCAGAACATTGTATAACAGGTGTCGCTTTGAGCAAATAAACAATCTTGGCTGAGACAATCATTGAAAAAACCACAAACAAACAACCAAGCAGTATCAATATTTCTAAATATTTTTAATACTAATGCAGTCTCAGTCTTGGGTTTCTGCAGGATGGGTGCTTCAGGAAGAATTTGACTTCCTGTTCCTGTAGTCCCTCCATCCCTGCTCTCTGTTAATATTATGTGGTACAGTAGAAAACCTATCTCATATGACAGTTGTACAGCTGTGCAGCCTCCAGACTGTTGCTCCATGACGGAGTAATACAAAGAGACCTAAGACTGATGGCAGAGCATTGATTTTCTCAGGTGTTGCACCCAGGAAAAAGTATCGCCAATGTACAATGAGATATTATATTATTTCCTGAGGCTCTCAGGGCCACAGAGGCTGTAAAATCATACCAAATCTGCCACAATCACTATGTAGTGAGTGTAACAAAATGTTAGGTCTCATATCATAGGTCTCAGAAAGTCTACCTAAATCAAATCACGTAATCCTCTCTAAGCCAATGACAGAAATGAAGTATCATTAGGAAATAATAATCTATAAAATGTTAGTTGCAGCTGAGACAAGCGTAGACTATGTGTAGAGTTGATTGATTATAAATATCCTGGTTTAAGCCAAAACTTTCAGTTATTTGTAAGCCTGTTTTAGTTACGCTATTAAGTGGCTACTGCAAATGAATTTCTGTCAACTGTTAATGCACTAAACTTGAAGATGAGAATTGTAGATATGGGGTAGAATGAGGCTTTGCTATTAGAGTCTAAAGTTCTCTCAGATTCACACCATTAGGATAATTGTTTTTCATAATGCCTGAGAAATGCCACCTAGAAAATCCAGGCATGATGTAACAGACGTGTTTTATCTGTTTTATTATTTGAGCTCTGGAGGAGCTCAAGACGATTACATTAATACTTGGACTGTGGCACACCTTTTATTAGTAACAATGCTTCAGCTTGGTTTGTGAAGACAATGATGATAAAAGAAACTGTCTGTTCCAGTGCAAATTCTGTTTCCCCTGAAGCCATTCTAATATTCACTTTACATTGCATAGGAAAGTACAACTAATGGAAAAGAGGTTAAAATCAGGGAAAGTAAGTGAATCAAACTGTCTCACATTAGATTTCTGGCTATATATCAAGGATATATATAGGTAGGTGACAGTGGCAGGTTCATTCAGATTTGTTTACAATTTCAATTCACCTTAAGAGGTAGATGATTACTTTCTATTTGTAGAAACACAACTGAGGAAAATGAGTTTTGAGTTGCACCTTTGTTACAATTACAGTTTGTAGTATTCCATAGAACAGTCTTTAAATCAGGTAACATTCAACGTTTCTGTTTGTTATGTTCCTGTCAGACTTCACATTTATATGAACATCTGTGTGTGTCAATGTACACATACAATTTCCATTAGTTTTCGTTTTTCATTACTGCAGTCTTCAAATGAAAGAAAGAAGACTAAGGATGCGACTGCTACTGCAGAAATAAGCTATGAAGCCCAATTTCAGCCCTCAGTTACAGTGAAGTGTAGTGGGTTTACGTGGCAAGGTTTTGGTAGCAGGGGGCCATAGGGGTGGTTTCTGTGAGAAAGATCTAGAAGCCGCCCCATGTTTGGGAAGGGCCCCGTTGTTTTCCAGATCTGAGCCAATAAGCGATGTTGTTTTGCGCCTCTGTGAGAGCATATTTAAGACAGGGAAAAAAACACTGCGCCACACAGCAGCCGGGAGAGTCAAGGGAGTGAGAAACAGCCTTGCAGGTGCCAAGGTCAGTGTAGAAGGAGGGGGAGAGGTGCTCCAGGCGCCGGAGCAGAAGTCCCCTGTGGCCTGTGGTGAGGACCATGGTGAAGCAGGATGTCCCCCTGCAGCCCATGGAGTACCACGGTGGAGCAGGGTTCCACGCTGCAGCCCGTGGAGGAGACCACGGTGGAGCAGGTGGCCCTGCACCGATGGAGGCTGCCGCCTGTGGAAGACCCCTGCCGGAGCAGATTCCGGGCCGGACCTGTAGCCCGTGGAGAGGAGACCATGCAGGAGCAGGTGATCTGGCAGGAGCTGCTGCCCGTAGGGGAGCCAGGTTGGAGCAGTTTTCTCCTGAGGGATGGACCCCGTGGTACGGACCCATATCTGGAGCAGTTCTGGAAGAGCTGCTGCCTGTGGGAAGCCCACGCCGGATCAGTTCGTCAAGGACTGCATCCCGTGGGTGGGACCCCACAGCACAGGGGACGAGAGTGACCGAGAAGGAGCGGCAGAGAAGAAGTGCTGTAGACTGACCATAACCCCCATTCCCCCGTTGCCCTGCGCCGCTCGGGGGGAGGAGGTGGAAGAGGGTGGATGGGGGGGGAGGTGCTTTTGGTTTCTTTCCTTTGTTTCTCACTTCTCTAGCTTGTTAGTAATGAGCAATAAATCTTACTATCTGTCTTCTTATGCTGAGTCTGGTTTGCCCGTTACACTAATTATTGCGTGATTTTCTCGTCCTTATCTCAATCCTTGAGCCCCTTTCACATATTTTCTCCCCATTCCTCTTTGAGGAGGGGGAGTGAGAGAGCGGCTGTGCTGAAGCTCGGCTGCCCACTCGAGCGGAACCACGACATGAAGCTACTGTATTAGATGAAACTAATGACTAATGATGAAACTAACTACTGACAGATGAAACTGTCAGTTGTGCTTGGATCCCTTAGGTCTTTTACACTCCCTAACAGTTTCAATACATTGATCCACATATTTTGACGGAAGTCTCCTTCATTGTCAACATAATTTTAGCATGATCATCTAAGAGAAGTTTGCAAAAGTTCTTCCAACGGCTCTCAGTTAAGATCTGTTTTCATTTACACCTGTATGCTGCTTTAAAGTCAATTGCATTGTAAAATTTAAATCATAAGTCCTTCACAAGGAGTGAAATAAACGTCTGAAATTCAATGCATTTTGGAAGCATAGCATGTTTTTGTTCATTGTGAAAACTGGTACTGCAAATATGCTGGAATCTGAGTGAATTGTTAATTTACATTGTTAATTTATTTTGTCTTTCTGCTATGTATAGGAGAAATGGGGGACAAAGGACAGAAAGGCAGCATGGGACGGCATGGAAAAATTGGTCCTATTGGTTCAAAAGGTATGCTTAGTACAATCGTTTTTGCATTGTTTCAGATGAAAAATCTTTGATCGCTTATGTTTGGTTAGCTACTCTCAGACTTCATTGCAATAGGGAGTTTCTCATACTGTAGTCAGCCAAACTGAGATCTGTCAGCCCGTTACCTTTTGCTCTGACAGCAGCATTAAGAGCTGGAAATCCTGGTTTGAGGCTAAATAAGGAACTTAAATTGCCAACAGACAATTGTGGACATTTAAGAGAAGTACATGGGAAGATGTGCTATATTTTGAAAGACTTCTAAGAACCACAAGACTTGAATTACAATCCTGCATACTCCATGGGCTCCCTACATGCTTAAATGACTTTGGTTAAGTCATTTGGACCGATATTTATGTAAGCATTTGGATTATGAAACAAGCTTTGGACTCCAATATAGCATATACAGCCCTTTTCCCTCTACAACTTCTGAATGTATTGGTTCTGTAAACCCCATGAATGTCAAAAAATGAATATTGATACATATGCCTTGTGTTCACGTTTCATAGCTTTGGCTTGCCTTTGTTGTGGACCGACTACTATGGAAAAATCTTTATTTTTTGTTTGGTCATACTTCTACTTTGCACATTTGGATTTTATTAGAGAAAAAAATAAAATGCTGAATTATTTGTTAACTAAAAATATGCTTTAAATTTATATTCTTTTCATGGTTTTAGGTGAAAAAGGAGATAATGGTGACATAGGACCACCAGGTCCTAATGGTGACCCAGGTAATCTATGACATACTTTGTTTATGATGTGAAGGATTTTAGAAGATGCACGCATCATCACCAAAATATATATTTTCTAAATTACTGAGAGAAATGATGATAAATTAAATATTTAGATAGCTACTCCTCGCTTATTCACTGAAATATTATCAATTCACTTAAAAAAAAAAATTGAATCTGCAGTAGTTGCTGGACTTACAGTGTATTGAAACTACGTCTCAGAGCTCTTAGAGGTTTGATCACTCCAGTGGGAACTGAAATGCAACTGTCAATATAATTTGTCACTGGTGGAAAGGGACATCTCTGTATATTCTCTGGCTTCCAGCCAACACAAAGGAGCAGGTTGGGAGATACTGCCCCCTCCATCAATTACCATTGTAGCAACAGGAGCTTACAAAGAATACAAATCCTCCAGAAAGAAAGGTGAATGTCTGGCACAAGAAGTGTGAGTCTTACAAAAGTGGCTTCTGATTTTGCCCAATTTGTTCCTTCCTAGCAGAGTGCACTAAAGGTTCCCCTATTAGATTTCTCATGAGAACATAATTCGTCACGCTAATTCTTGAGCCAGAGTACCATATACATTGGCAAGAAGGACAGTTTTGTAGTATAACTACCCAGTACTTAGATTGACTTAGATACCTAAGCTGAGTAATTGGGTAGTTAAATGCAGATTTGAATAATTACACACAAAACTGGAAAATGTAATTGATCCTCCTTTTGAGATTTGAACTCATAGAAGTAACAATTATCCTTTTAGTATTCTCATTCAGATTATCTTTGTCAAACCAATATCAATTTGGTGTAATAGATGGCTTTCTATTGTCTTCTTTTATTGAAAGAGGTACAGTAACTTCTCTACTTTGAAATGTACAGAACTACATTTTTCAGCTAATTGTGTGCATTATATGGTTGGAACATTAGCCTTTTTGATCTGCTGTGTGAGATTCCTTGTGAGGAACAGGTGAGCAATGCACATGGTAGATTTTTGCTGTGGAAAAAGTGTTCTTTGGTAAAGACTGAAGAGAACAGTTTTACTCGTGTGAAACTTTGACAGGTATTTTTAGTTCAAAAAAAAATCTTTTTTTTTTTTTTTTTTTTTTTTCAGGGTATTTCTGTCTGTGTTCAGTTTAGCACTAACCATGCAGGGCTGAAGCTTCACACAATTAGGTTTTCTGGCTAGGCTGAGACAATGGTGAGAATCATTTGATGGCACATGTTAGCAAAGGCCACAGGTTTCTGGCCATTTTTTATGAGGAAGGTGTCCCTCTCCCAGTGGATGTCTGGGCCTTTTCATGATATTATTAAGACAATTACTGGATTTAGATAGCTTTTTCACTTCAGTATTCCTGTATCATTTCATAGGCATTCCCTGTGAGTGTAGCCAGCTAAGGAAGGCTATTGGTGAAATGGATATCCAAGTGGCCCAGCTGACGACGGAATTAAAATTCATAAAAAATGGTAGGTTAATTTTATTTAAATATTTTCCTCTCTCATTGCTATGTTTTACCGGTGGAATTGCTCGTAGAGAGTATCACCGTCTTGCATCGGATTTGTGAAGCTATTTGGGGTGTACAGTAAGTTGGTTTATAGAAATGCGAGTGCTCACTTTTCAGCACTGCCCTCCCCCGCAGCTGTTGCTGGTGTGCGTGAGACAGATAATAAGATATATCTGCTGGTGAAGGAAGAGAAAAGATACAAGGAAGCCCAGCTCTACTGCCACGGAAGAGGAGGGACACTGAGCATGCCCAAGGATGAGAATGCCAACAATCTGATTGCCTCATACATCAACCAAGCTGGGCTCACCAGAGTTTTCATTGGGATTAACGACCTAGAGAAAGAGGGAAATTTTGTCTATTCTGATCGATCGCCCATGCAGACCTTCAACAAGTGGCGCAGTGGGGAGCCCAACAATGCTTATGACGAGGAGGACTGTGTGGAGATGGTGGCGTCTGGAGGGTGGAATGATGTTGCATGTCACATTACCATGTATTTTGTGTGCGAATTTGACAAAGAAAATGTGTAATCTTGTCTGGTCTTTCTTTATTTTAAGAAATGTTTTCAAGCAGGTTGTACAAGTTAGCCCAGGTTTATAGAGTACAAGTGATATTTTACATGTATGTGACATCGGTGTTGTACAGCTGTAAATACAATTTAGGTATTTCAAATATCTGTATTTACCCTTCAGAAGGGAAGAGCACTGATAAGTAAGACACAGCTTTTTTTTTTTTTTTTTTTTTTTTTTTTGTAGGAAAATATAACTATTTAGATTAAAAAAGAAAAAGTGGTTTGGGACTAAATTCTGACCTCACAACAGTTATCAAATGTGATGGCATGACTGTAGGGGAATGCAGAATTTGGCCTCTAGTTTTTAGACTGATCATTTCTGAAAAAGTAGATTCTTGATATTCTTTTATCTTAGCAAATTTTGTAGTTATAAATGTTAATTACTTGTAGGTCTACAGGGATATTTCAGCAAGAAGGCAAATATTTTGTATACTCCAGTCAATTAATAGAAATATTACTGTATTTTTTTTGGATGTGAAGGTGTTACTTTTTTTTTTTTTTTTTTTAATAGCTAAAGCAAGTGAACAAAGCAGGAGTCCTACCAATTTTGTAAAGTTTCTTTATTAAAATATTCACAGATGAGGAGGTCCTTCTGTAAACTCAGTTTTAGTGCTAGGAGGGGACTAGCTTCTTGTAATTCAGTACTGAAAGAGGGATCATGCCAAATGGGTGCTTTGGGGTTAGTTAAAGGTCAAAGTATGATTTTGATTTTCTGCATTCTTTGGTTGAGAATGACTCAGTGAATGAGCTATTTAAAGCTCAGAATAATTTCTTAAAGTAACTGTGTTTCAATTTTTATAGGATGATCTTGGTGCATCATGTTACAAAACAAAAACCAAACCAAAACAAAAAACTCTCCACAATTTAAAATTGACTTCATAAGTAGACAACAAATTTCACAGGAGTGGTTTAGCTTGTAGTTCCTTTTGGCAGGAAAGCAGCCTTTGTTTATTCAAATTGCAGGGGTGACCCTCTGAAAAGCAGGAAAAGTTACCAAAATATTCCTGTTTATGTATATAGCAATAATGCCATTTTGTACAAATAATTTATGTACCCAATTTACAATTGCATCTGATGGAGAAGCTGATGTACATTAAAAAACAGCAACAACATAATTTCATAAAATAAACGATGAATTACTTTGGGTCTTCCAAGGAGGCATGCCATCTTATCTTGCTGTTAGGCATAGAAAGGTGACCACAAAATCTCTGTGTTTTTTCAGAATACCCTGGTTTAAGATCAACTTTAAGGAGAAATGAACCTTTGTATAACACAGTAATCAATATAAATATCTGATTGTTATGGGAGATTTGCAACATATGCAGAATGGATCTAACCTGGTTCAAGAGATTGCCCCACAGTAAGGCAAGACAAACTCAAATCAACTCTACAGTGCCATGGTACCTAAGCAACCAATGATCACACAGTTCTGTTCATATCCACAGTCCAACAACATTTGATGTGACGCTATTATTATATACATAAGAAAACAAACCATTTGGTTTTATATATTTACTCTGTGAATTTGAATCTATTATATGTATATATATATATATATATGTTTGCTATTAATTTTGAAGATTAGTAGTAAATTCCTATAGTATTTGAATATCAGTCCATCTCCAGAGCAGCCACACTAAGAAATGAATGATCTTTCATTGCTTTATCTTCTTTCTTCTGAATGTAGGTATGATTCTTGTATGTCAGATTTTCTTCAAACTGTATATTGAAATCTATTAAATAATGTGAATATGGCTCTACACTAATATTCAAAGACTCTACAGAATTTGCAGGGAACTAACAATTCTAGCAGAGCAATTTGTTTGATTAGAATAGTGCCTTATGAATATCATGGTTGTTTCCTGCCTGCTATAGAAATCCTCAGAAGCCCTTCAAATCTCCAACACACTTCTGTCAAATCATTGAAGCTATATTAAAAGTAGTCTAAACTTGAGTTACAGATATCTGGAGTTCCCTCATTATGTATGTGCTGAAGTTGCTAACTGTTTGTTTTTCACCCAGGTTTTCAAAGTCTCTGCTGTAATGTTCAGTTTCCTCAGAAACATGAAAAGAGGCCTTTTGAGGAGGTGGGAAGCTTTTTCAGATGCCAAATGCTCCTATTTTAGCTGGAAGCCACACCACATTTATAATGATTGCCTTGATGTGTAGAGCATTTAAGCAGTCTGAGTTTCTATTAAAATGTGAGATGAAAAATAAAGGCAATGTAAAAAACATTTACTTCCCCCAGTTTTCATGTTTGTCAGGATATATATATATATATATATATATATATATATATATATATATATATTTGCAGTTCTTGATATATGAAATGGAAAGGAAATTAGCTGTGTTGTCAGAGTCCTGTGTATTCTCTTGTCTGCCACAGTCCTTATTTCATTGTTTGGGTGGGAGGAACAAGGCTGATGCATAAGGTCTGTAGCTATCCTGCAAGGAGCAGAGACTGTGCTTCTGATATTTACCTCTGTGTGGAACTGGGCAAGAAATGACAGGGTTTGGAAATGACTGAGCCCTTGATCATCTCTATCATCCTCCAGTTGCTGACCTCCATAGGTGGACCCTTGCTGGAGGCAGAAATCAATGCTCTGTGTAGCTCAGCCTGCACGAAGCCTGCTGAAGAGCATGGTAAGACTTCTGTTGTTTCCAGTAGAATTCAGAGCTACTGTGAGGAAAAAAATCATACAATGTTTATTTGAGGCATTTTCCATGTATTTTAAAACCTATTTCATTAGATCATTACTCATTTTGTTTAGCTCTACAGAAACCTTTTAAGCATGTCTGTCTGCCAAGCACGCACTGTCAAGTTTCCAAAATGGCTTTTGCATTCTTTACTCTTGATGGATGGTTTATCCTCATAAAAAATTCGCCATAGCCATTATCTATTTTGTTCTTAATTAATAGGCAAGTTGATGTATTTTAAGAGAGGAACAATAACAGCTTTTTTTTTTTTTTTTTTTTTTTTTTTACACAGTCACCTATGCGTACTCTTGAATGGCTTCTTCACACAAAATACAAATTTTATTGAACTGTACTCCTCACATTTAGGTGTTAAGGTTGAGTTGTTATTTTACTGATGTTAGGACAGGTATGTATCCCCCTCCTAAGAGCTGACTTGGAGAAGGTAAAGCTGGCTGAGACCAAGCTTCCTCATCGCAGTGAACTTCCTAGGAGATCACCTGATGGTGCCTGACCCTGACCACTGCCTGGCCCTGATCCTAACTCAGATTTGCCACTCTACAACCTAGCACCTTGGTATAAGGTGTTATCTCCACTTGCCTTGTCATGCTTGGGTCCCAGTTTGCTATCTCTTGTGGACCAGATGGTCCTTACTGCATCCTGACAGCTGATGTGACAATCCATGAAAATATGGTTTCACAACAGGCTGCGGGTTAGCAGCAGAACACCTCCCTGGCTATGAGTTTAGTTTTAAAATGTCTAAAGTCACAGAGCAGAACTGTAACATTTAGTATTTATACACAGGATAGAAACCATTCTTACTGATACAAGAAAAATAGAGTGCATCATTTTAAATAAACACATAAAATGCCAGTTCAAATATATATTATAAAATAGCAGCTGGTTGGATTTTTTTTTTTCCCAATGGTTTTGAAGAAAATGAGATAAAATGAAATTAAATACATTTTCCATGTAAAATAAGGTGAAAGTTCAAGATGGACAAAGAATTTTTAAGTTGACATTTTTCGAGATATTTCCTTCAGGAATTCCATTTCTGAGTTCTGAAGCTTCATACTGACCTATAAAGGGATTCAATTTTTTATACCATTGTTAATGTGTTTTACACCATATCAGTTAAAGCATTCAATATAACACTTGAAATTTTTTACTTTATTCTTTATGTCTTAGCTTCCAGTTACAACAAGTTATTTTATTTTTGAGAGTTCTCTTATTTGTCATATTGAAAGAGTTTGATGCTTAAATCATTTTCTCCTTCCAGGACTGCTCTGGCACTGTTAACAATGAATATAAAACAATAGATAGGTCAATCAATATTAAATAGAAGATATTCTTATTGTTAATGAAAATGAGTCTTTTAAGTTTTATGCCATATAACTAGCTACTTATACATGATTACAGGTGTCCAATCATTACACAATCTAAAATGAATACAAGTATTTTAAATTAAAAAAAAATCTTACTAATATACTTTCATCCTGAATTAAAACAAAAGACATCAAAGTAACCAAATTCTTAGCAAAAAGGGAATTTCAGTTTTCCCCTAGTATCCATCTCCAGTTTTGATGAGAAAGTCTGTGACTTGTGGTGCTGGTGGCCAGATCTTAGAGTAGACAAACTGTCTTACAGCCCAAACAATGATTACATGCTACTCTACCCCTTACACTTTTTGTGCAACTTTCTCTTAGCCTTTATTTTCAGGTATTCTGCTCACTTGGATCTCTGTATAAATGCACGTATGAATGTATTCCAAAGGTCAATTCTTCTTCACTGGAGATTCTTTTTCAATTTTCTTCTTACTTTGTGGTGCCAATAGATCCACATCACTCAGCTTCTCTGCCAGAGGCTATGTACCAAGACACTTCTTTGTCTGTTGGGGCATCTGGAAGTGCAAGTGCATCCATGAAACTGGCTGTGAGAGGTGTTGTGCAGGACTGGAGCCAGCCACTCACCTGTTTCCTGTGGTGTCTCCTGGTTGGGGAGAAGCAGACTAGCTTACTGAGAGGAGAACTGACTTCGTTATTGTGGATAAAAGGAAATGGGAGTCTTAATATAGAGGGAAAAAAAAAACATATGGTGGAGGGTTTGACTATTTACAGAGGAGCTTGAGAGAATGAGGAGTTTGGTTTTAATTTTGACGTATTAGGAGAGAAAAACAAACAAACAAAAAAAACCCACATCAGTTGAATTGTGAGAAATTTGTGGAGGGGTTGTTAGCTGTTGTTAGCTGTGTGCCCAAGGTGCTGTTCCGGCTGCATGTCTCCTCCTAGCTGGGAGCTTCTCTGGGTGAGGAGGGGAGTCCTCTCAAGGGTGAGAGCATGAAATAGAAAAGCTGTGAGAAGCAGAAAGTGGATGTGCAGAACCAGAAGCGAATGGTTTGCCCATAAGGAGACATGTAAATGTCATTTACATTCTTGTGCTTCCTGGTAGGGAAACATAATTATCCTGCCCTTTCTATCAAAGTGTATCGCTATGGCTCTGGCTGGATATCTACAAAAATGGAGGTAGGCGACCATTTCAGCATAATATCTGTGCCTAAATAAAGTCCAGTTTAGGTCTATGGCCGAATATTATCTACTAATACTGGATATATTAATGTATAAAGTCACTGAGGATAAAATTAAGCACTAATATTCAAAGGCTAACTATGTAGTATTGATGCCTTTCTGTATGTTCTTTTCATATAAAGGTGTGAATACTGCCAAGAATTCAGCAACTGAAGATCTGGTGTGCAGCTGAACTATACATGTGTTACCATACTATCATCTAGTGGCAGCAAGAGGCAACTAAATGCAAAACGATGTAGCTGAGCAGTAGTTTGCTTCTGCTTGCATCAGAGTTACCATGTTATTGAATGAAGCCATTAATGTGGTATTGAACAACAATTTCCCATCCCTGAAGTCTTTAGTCAGCTTTTTCCTCTTCTTTGTGAAAAGATTATTTTGATTTTTAACAAAGAGATGTGTGTTGATTTTAAGTCCAATGCCAATAGCTAGGTGGGAATTTTGACTAAAAAGTGAGAATTGTGTCCAAATGAGTTCAATTATCATGCCTTGGAGTTATGAAAAAGGAAACAAGTCAAGCTGTGCCCTGCAGGCCAGCATCTAAATGCAGGTGCAGATCTTCTCCTGGCATCAATCAACTTCAGTGAATCCAAATTGATTTATACCTGCTGCGGATCTGGCACAGTATCTTCAAACATTTCATACTTATGCTTATTTCAGAAAGAAAGAGAAAGAGAAGTATTTCGATGTATATAGTTTTTTTTCTGACCACTTTTGTTCAAAGTCTGATCTGGTATAATGCATTCATCTCTAATGGAAATTTCTGGGCTGTAATCAGTTTTGACACAAATATTGAACTTAACAATTGAAGTAGATGTATGTTATAAATGTGAAACTTTACCTCTGAGAGTACAGAAAGGGTATGATGCAGAAGACAAAGAAACAGTAAAAGCATGTAACATAAATAATAAGTCCTCTTTATATTCTTCTATGAAAACCTTTTTTTTTTTTTTTTTTTTTTTTTTTTTTCCCCCCACACTCCACATTGATTCATAGGAGTAGACTGGTGCCATCTAGTGAAGAAAAGATTTGTTACATGTCTAAAGAGCCACAATCCGATTCTGTTCTTGTTTCATTCTTAGTGTGATTGGAATGATAAAGAAAGACAAACATTTTGGAAGAGGGAAATTGAGCAATATGTTCAATTCACCGTGTCTGTCATACACACTGAGAAAGAATATGCAAAATGTTAACTTACTTATTACAAAGTGCCTTCCACATTTGTAAATCTGTTTATTTGGTTTTATTTAAGCCCAATTCCTGCTGCTTCCCCAGCATCACTTTTCTTCTCCTCTAGATAAAAAGAAAGTCTAGTATAACAAATTGTGACTTAGGTAAAATTTAGTACCTCTTCTGAATATCTGCAATTAGATGGGCAGAAAAGTTTATAGTGAACTTTGATATAGGCAATTCTTTTTCCATACTGATTTTTTTTTTTTTTTTGGGCTATGTCTTAGTATTCAGAAACCTCTCAAAGTGGAAGAATCCCTCAATCTTGCATTGTAAAAGCATAAATACATTACAGATGATATATTGCTGCCATGCCTAACACTTAGTGATAATTTCTGCTTTTTTAAATACTCTTTGAGACTACTGTCCTCATCTCTGCAATGTTTTCCATATTCTTCTTAAAGCTTCTCTTCCTTTAGCATCTTGTCAAACCCATAAGGAAAGTTAATTGTATA